CTCTGGCTTGTGATTTACAGACTTTTCTTGTTTTCTCCCAACATTATGCGTGGATTTAATTTCATTCATTTGGTAATTAAAAACAATAGGGAGTATGCCCTATTGCTTGATGCAGCACAATAACTTTTTCTTTTTAAAACCACAGTATATATTATTCTGGAACAGCTGTGCATTTTGGTCAAAGAAAATTTCCCATTTGAGTGTAAACAAGAGCAGCTATTTCTTCATTCTGGAGAGTGCAAAGGAAAGTTAATATGATCCTGTTGGAAGTAGTCTAAGAGTTAAATGTCTTTTTTATTTTTTCAGATTATTTCAGCAAATGTAAGCACAGCAAATCATCAACCAGTTGCTCTGGATGACATTGAGTTACCTTACAACATGGAGTTTACATACAGTGTCATGTGGAGCTCAACTGAGTGAGTCTTAATCCTTTAATTCTCAGGATCTGCTTGTTGATTCTCTCCTCTAGCTGCTTTACAATTCTTTGTAAATTAGTGACAAGAATTTGGTGATAGATCAAGATAAAAACTTCTACCTGATAAGTTTGAATATCCTCACTAACTTTTTGCTAGTTAATGTATAGATAATAATAGGAAGAAGTTACATGTTAATCAATTCTTGAAGTTAAAGGGTTAATAGCAGATTGAGACACAAATTCTCCTTCTGGTAAGGGGATGTTTTTGCTTATGCTGAAGAGAGAATTTAGTGTCACATCTGGACAATGAACATAAGTCGATTATTTTCTATCAGTATCACCCTTTTCCTTTTCAGTTTTATCATCACCATGAGAATGGGAGCAGGGGCCCATTTCTTGAAAGTCCCGGTAGCTTAACGGGCCTGAAGCCATGTTTTAAAATCAAAATTTAAAGGATAGGAAAGCAGATTCTGGCACCCAAACCCATCCTTTTTGTTTCTTTAGCAGATAGTTTTATTGTATCATTTCCAAAACTAATTTGAAATCCCCATCTTGAATGAAAACATCACAGCTTTATGCGCCTATTAAGTAACTACTGGGACTTTTGAGAAAAGGGCCCCAGGAGTGTTATATCACTCAATCCTACTCACAAAGGGTAAACAATTTCTTTGTGGCGTACTCGACCCCTGGAAATTTTACTTTAAGTGTTTTTTTTAGTTTGAAAAACTTCTTTTTAATTTTTTTTTTAACATGTTAAAGATTTCCTGGTTTTGTATTCTGTTTAAAAGCACTCCATACTCAGAGAGACTGAAAATCAAAGGAGCTGGAAGTTTTTTTCCAAAGAGCCTGGAGGTAAGACTAGAGATCACAAAAAGTTCATCATGAACAGGAATATCTATTGTATAGCTTCAGATAAAGGAAATGTAGACTCTATAGAGTTTTACCCATTGTTCATTCCCAAAGATTTGTGTTTGTTGTCTTTGTGGCAAACTGATTGTTGATAAAGATCTGCTCATAGCCTTTTGTCAGTTACATGAATTGTGTCAGGTTATAAAACAATAGGAGATGATATTGATTCATGGTTAGAAAGAATGCTTTTTGACAATCCTAACGGTAAAAAAGTTTAAATTTAAGCAATCATACAGTAATGTATGGTCAAACCTCAATTATCCAGACTCGCTGGGCCAGGACTAGACGAAAAAGTCCAGATAACTGATTGAATTAAGAAAGCAAAATTTGATCCTGAAATAAAACATTTACAAATTGTTTTGAAATAGATAATGGTCTACATCTTCATTGTTCCATGTGAATACCTCTACATGTGTGGATTAAAAATAATACATTACAATTACCGTAATGAAAAATGTTTTAACATCGGCCAAAAATGCTGAAGTAAGTCAGTTTGTCTTAAAGAAGAACATC